CATGCAGATCTGTGCACCACATGTGTACCTGCTATTTGAAGAGGTGGTGAGCCCTGCTTGTGGGTGCTGGGAGTCAAAACCTGGTCCTTTGCAATAACAAGTGCTCTTAGCCACTGAATAATGGGATCAAAAACCTCTCTTAAAGCCCCCCTCTGCCAGGGGTTCTTATTTATTTGTTTGTTTGTTTATTTATATATTTATTTATTATAATTTACTATAATTTACTAAATTTGTATCCCTGCTGTGACCCCCTCCCCAATCTCTTCCCAATTCCACCCTCTCTCCCTCTTCTCCCCCTATGCCCTTCCCCTAGTCCACTGATAGAGGTCCTTCTCCCCTTCTATTTGACCCTAGCCTATCAGGTCTCATCAGGACTGGGTGCATTTTATTCATCTGTGGACTGGCAAGACTGCACCACCCATGGAGAGGCAATCAGAGAGCTTGCCACTGAGTTCATGCCAGAGAAAGTTGCTGCTCCCCTTACACGGAACCTCACTTGGAGACTGAGTCTATGAGCCACATCTCAGCTGGGGTTTTAGGTTCCCTTGGTGCATTGTCCTTGGTTGGGGTATCATTCACTTCAGGGCCACCTGTGCCCAGATTTTTTGGTTCTCTTGGTCTCTTTTTGGAGCTCTTGTCCCTTTCAGGTCTTTCTATCTCCCCCTTCTTTCATAATATACCATGCTCTCTGCCCAAAGTTTGGCTATGTTTTTGTTTGTTTGCTTGTTTGTTTGTTTGTTTTTTAATTAGAATTTCTTTCCAGAGTCTCATGAGGGCAGAGATAATGAAGCATACTTAAACATGCCAGATCATACTAGAAATTATTGGAAATTAGACCACAAACTTGTCAAAAGATTTCCTCATCTCCAATGTGAAAAAAAAAGTGAGTTAAATGATTTACAATATTTGTGAGGGGGGAAAAATACTGTTTTCCCAGATAAAATTTTCTTGCTGGTAATGGAAGTGTGCTAGGGTAGAGATTTTTAAAGAATGATCTTTGAATCACATGGAATAATTATTAGAAATGCTTATTGTTGGATTATTGATCCCCATCCCAGATCTACTGAATGAGAACTTCTGGTAGGAGTGTACTCTATATCACATTGAGGCATGATTAACTTTGAGGACCATGTGTTAAAGTATTTGGATTTGTGACTACAGGCCTATTAAAAGTGTGACATTCAAGATTCGTTTTCATTACAATGTTAAGATAACTGTCCTAGATTTCTAACCACAGCTGGGTGCTAAGGAATGAGTCATACATTCTGGAGGTCTACTGTGCACCATCACAAAAACAGCAAACAATTCTTAGAATATTGGAGAATTACTAGCAGGAATTTTTAAGTAATCTCATAAAAATCATAAATATATGAAGTAAAGGATTTTATTCAGATTGGTTTACTTATTTAACAATCTATACAGCTCTGTTCAGCCTACACATTCATAATTTGCCATGTGTCATTTGATGGAGTCATAGTTAGCTACATCATACTTCTTCTACCAGATAGACAGGATTTGATTTATTTGCAATACTAACATATTCGACATTGTGATGTTACAGAAAAGAACATGGACTTTGAAATTTCATATGGGAGGCCTTCTTGGATAATTTGAATTACCCATTTAATGCCTAACAATTCACCTTAAAATTTAAGAAATAAGTTGTTCAATGTAGACAGATGAGTTTGCAATAATGTTTGGCAAATATTTTAATGTTTTTTTTTCTTTTGAGAAATATCTCACATAGCCACAGGCTACCCTTGACACATCTATGTAAAGAATAATGACCTTGAACTCCTGATCCTCCTGCCTGAACCTGCCAATGTTGGGATTGTAGGCAGGTATTGCCATTCTGGAAGTTTCCATTGTTTCTAATAATAATAAGGTAATCTACTAAAAGTCCATTAATTAAATAAGTTATACTAGATAATTGTAATAAAAATTAATTAAATATATGATTTAGATGTAAAGGACATGAGATTTTATGCTAACTATGGTTCAGTGATTAAAACTTTGTTTATAGAGTTATATGTGTAATAAAGTCAAATTCAATTAAAATTGCTACCTATGAATTTATTTATAAATCAGCATACATAGAAAAATTGCTTAGAAAACTATGAATGAAAATGTTAGGTCTGGAAACTCTTGTTTATATATAAATGTCTTTGTGTATAAAACCAGACTTATGAGAGCCTCAGTGTGAGTATTTTATATTAAGAAAATTTGTTTTGTCATTTCTTATCTTTGTTTTCTAGTGGAACTCATTGCCTTGTGTATAGAGATAATGAAAGATTAAGGACAACATAATTTTTTTAAAGATGGCTTCTTAGCATGAGGGACTAGAATATTCCTTTAAACGTAATGTATTTGTCCTAGAAAAAATGGAAGGAAGCAATATCTCTTGCAGCAGTTCACTTTCTAGATTCGTGGTCTAAAACTTGGCATTGGTGCATTTCTGAACATTTGTGTTTTTGTGTAATTACAAAAATGTGCTTTCCAAATATCCATTAATGGGGTTTCAAACAAATTCCTTTCAAGTGTCAATGTAGTTGAACATTGGTGTAGTCATGACACCTGGTGGTCAAGTCAAACATCACAGCTAAATTCTAATCCCTACACACCCATTTAATCTCACTCATTACCTTCCTCTCACAGAACTTTCTGTCTCTTAGATTCATTTGCCTTTCATAAAATTATTCACCCAAATAACAGTCAACAGAACATTCACATATTTAAGACACTTCAGTAGACTTTTATTTGGTTGGATAGGATGTAATAAGGAGATGAGCAGTTGGCATGTAGGAGTTTTCTAGCTATTTCCTGTAGTAAAGCCACTTGGAAAGGAAAGTAACCTCATCTTGCCAGAAATATTATGTAATGCTCACTAAAGAAAATGGACAGAATTATGGATACTGTGAATCCAGAAAAATGACATTTGTAACTTATGGATGTCAAAAGGAGTTTCATGGAAGAAGTGAGTCTTGCCTTTTGGAAACCTCAGTTTGTTCATCTGACAAAACAGCCATGATATATCATTGTTTCATAGCTTTGGCGTCAGAAATTGATAAAGTATACACATGGTATTTAGCTTAGCATCTGGCAAAATAGGCATTTAGCAATTGCTATTCATGTTTATAATAAAAGCAAAGATGATTATAAAGATTAATTGTCTGATTGTATTTGGCTACTCCACCTGGTTTGTGTTTGCAAGTATTTAAAAAAAATTACCCTGAATATAGAAAACACATTTTCAATTATTGCAGTTAGTTCAAGCAAATTATAAAAAAGAGATAGTGTTGTCTCTGTTTACACTTTACTGCACCAACTGCCTGATTCAGCAGCATATTTTACTCAGTGAAAGAAAATCCAAGTACCTCTTTGCCTGAATAAACTGGTTGTTTGATTTCACTGAACTTTCAGCTCAGTAAATAGAGTTTATTCAAGAATTATATACACTCACTGCAGAGACATAAAATAAGTTTGACACTGTGTGGGCTTTGTTTGGTTGACTACATTTCTATGATTTTTAATTGGCTGTGCCTAGGTTTGTACACATGATCCTAGACCCTGTATTACTTTCCAGACTAATTCAAGAGGCATTGCCAAATATGCATTCTACTTTACCACTTGAGTATGTGTTACCATTAAGGTTGTTTCATTTTTTTCTTTAGCTTTATAAAATGTGTAACAAACTAATTGCTCTTTCCAGTACTAAAATGTACAATGAGGCATTAAAATCTTATTTAGTCTTCTGTTTGAAATCAGAATGTATAAAACATTTTATAAGAATTATCAAACATTTATTAGTTAAATATTTGCTTCAAGGGTGAAATTAGCTGTACTGTGGTGGCTTTTGGCCAGAAGTAATAATGATTTAACATAAAACAAAACCAAGAACAAGGACAATTAGAAAATTAATTTTTAATCTGGATAACGAAGATTTGAGAAAACACATGATTGTTATCTTTAGATATTTGCAGAGCTTTTGTGTCTAACAGGGAGTAGACTATTTTGTCTTTGACAAAAATAACTGAGTTGAAACAACACAGGAACAGATTTTAAGTCACTAAATAAATGGAAGATATTTCTAAAATGTATGACCACTGAAAATACAACCATTTACATGAATAATTTTCACTGAATTTGAAGCTAAAAGGGAAGCAACTCCCATTTGCTTTATTTATTACAGGATATCCTCTAGAGCTTTACATATTCTGATAGTTGACTGAAATAGTGAAAAGATAGTTTCAATATATATGAGTGCCTGGAGCTGCCACCGTATTGTTAATAAACACAGAATGTTTTGGAAAGAGCTTATAAAAGGTATTAGAAGATGATAGCAAAACAAACCCTACTTTCAGCCAAAATTTGAAGAAGGGGTCCCTGTTTTTCCCAAGGCCAAATCATCCGTAAAGGTTGGTGACATGCCAGCCTTTGGTTAGGTCCCTAATCCATGTGCCATTCAAAAGAGTTTATAGCTCACCTTAGCAACCATTTATTAATTTATAATGTAGCTATTAAAAGCAAATTAAGATTTCATTTTCCCAGAGTTGATGACCGTAACTTGGGCAAACTTTAAACAGAAACAGGTATACAAATGCAACATGGAGAGATTATGGGCCAAGATGGCGACTAGCATGTACAAATGCAACATGGAACTTCACAAGGGTAATGGAATATTTGTCTGAAGGCTGTTTGACCATGAAATCTTGGCTGTTGGTTAGCTATGCAACCCTGATGATTCTCTGGCAGAATATAAATCAAACTGAAGTTGTTGTCAAAATAATTATCTTAAAAGATCATGTAATCATGCTTGAAAATATCTTCCTCACTACTTTTTATCTGTTGGTAAGTTGCTTTTAATTTTACATTAACAAGAACTTTCAGACTTATGAAAGTTCACATTTAAATACCTCTGTGGTAGGACTACAACCAATATACATATTCACATGTGCTGATCCGCCTCTGACTCTATCTTTATTCTCTTTTCCACAGAAATCACCATACAAAGGCTTTTTCTAAGAAAAGACCACAAAGCTCAAGATGGGAAGTAACAACCCGAACAGTATTATATAGTAAAGTGCACTGATCTACAAATGCTGGTTCACTACTGTCTCCTTGTAGCCAGCTATATCTTTGGGCAGGAGTCATAATTCCACAGTTTACCTTGATGAACACACTGAGATATTCAAGATGGGCAGCAACAGTACCAGCACTGCTGAGAGTAATTGCAATGTCACTCATTTGACGTTTCAGGACTCTCTGTATGCAACCACGTATATCTTCATATTTATTCCTGGTCTCCTGGCTAACAGTGCAGCCCTGTGGGTTCTGTGCCGCTTCATCAGCAAGAAGAATAAGGCCATCATTTTCATGATCAACCTCTCAGTGGCGGACCTTGCTCATGTCCTGTCCTTACCTCTGCGGATTTACTATTATATCAACCATCACTGGCCATTCCAGAGAGCCCTTTGCCTGCTGTGCTTCTATCTGAAATATCTCAACATGTATGCCAGCATTTTTTTCTTGGCATGCATTAGCCTTCAGAGATGCCTCTTTCTCCTCAAGCCATTTAGAGCTAGAAACTGGAAGCGTAGATACGATGTGGGCATCAGCGCTGCCATCTGGATCATCGTGGGGACTGCCTGTTTGCCACTTCCCATCTTGAGAAGTGCTGGCTTAGCCAGTAACAGTGAATCCTGCTTTGCTGATTTAGGTCTTCATGACATTAGTATGGCTTCCTCCATTGTCATGATAACTGCCGCTGAACTTGGAGGGTTTATATTGCCCATTGCAATTATTACTTATTGCACATGGAAAACTAGAAAATCTTTACAGGAATTCCAAGATCCACCTCAGAATATCAAAGAGAAGAAAAAGGCTTTGAGAATGGTTCTAATGTGTGCAGTGTTATTCATAGTGTGTTTTACTCCTTACCACCTCAACTTCCCATTCTTTATGATGGTAAAGCAACGTGTCTTCTTGAACTGTTCCTTTATTAAGAGCACTTTATGTTTCCACATCATTTCCTTGTGTCTTGCAAATCTTAATTGCTGTCTTGATCCAGTTGTGTATTATTTTATGACTTCAGAATTTCGTGATCAATTTTCAGAACATGGCAGTTTGGTCATCCAGTCATGTTTGTGTTGTAAAGACAATACTTTGGAAATTCACCAGAGGAAGGAATATATTCAGACTATCTCTCTGGAGTGTTTGGATGTTCTAACACAATGAGATGAAATAATTACCTAGAACAACCTTTATACTCTGTCATGTTAGCCATTTCAAAGTCATACTGAATGTCATGAAGAAGCACAGCCACTTCACTCCAAATAATCTTTCCACAGGAGTTCTCTATGCCAAGATTATTTGTGCGGCAACTGAGAAAAAAATTGTCTTCACACAAAGCAATAATTGACAGAAAGAATCTCACACCCATTCCTCAGTAATGGATCCAATATTTTCTTCTTTAACTGAGAAAAAATATTAAAATATAGTGAACATGTGTAAGTTATATAAACATTGAAAAATCTACATCAGAATATGACCCTAACTTTATTTAGAAAATATACACTCCTTGAATCAATTGTGTTACAGGATAACTTTTCATATTAATATGAATTATAGAAATTAACATTATCAAACTTTAAGTCAAAGAATTCAAGCTGAAACTCTTTGAAAGTCTGTGGGTTTATGATTGATGCATACTTTTGTTTATTGTCATTTTTGGGGCAATATTCTCATATATCTGTTTATTACAATCAATCTGGCCAGGTGACTGTTTCATATGTAACTTCACTTGATGCATGTAAATCAACAGGTAATGAAGAATCACACAATCCATATAGTTTTTATTTTGTTGAAGTTTAGTTGAGCTTAATTTTTTGTATTAGAATATACCAATGAACTGAATCAAATTCATTAATGCAGAACAAACATTGCCATTTAAAAATGTCTGTAATTAGGGGCTAGAGAGATGGCTCAGTGGTTAAGAGCGCTGTCTGCTTTTCCAAATAGACCCAGGATCAATTCCCAGCACCCACATGGCAGTTCACAACTGTCTGTAACACCAGTTCCAAGGGATCTGACACCTTCACACTAATACACATAAAATAAAAAAAATTAAATAAATTTGAGGCTGGAGAGATGGCTCAGTGGGTTAATAATGTTGTCTGTTCTTCCAAAGGACCTAGGTTCAATTCCCAGCACCCACATGACAGCTCACAACTGTCTGTAATGCCAATTCCAAGGGATCTGACACCTATACACTAATGCACATAAAATAAAAAAATTTAAAATGCCTATAATTGATTGTTAATATAAATCATTCTCACTGGAAAATTTGGAGCTTACCATTTTCAAGTATTGGATATCATTAAACTGAAACTTTATAAAGCAATGTTTAGTTTTATAAAATTACTATTTTTGTCTTGTCTCTACTTTTAAAAATAGCCTTTAAATTTTCATTATATTCTTAGGTTAACATATAAGGGAATGGAATTCATGGTGACAGTTTCAAATACACACACACATATTTACATATATATAAACATATATATCATTGGACTTGTTCTTATTTACTTCCCACAGCCTTCTTTTGGCTCTCCTCCCATTCTTGTTGATGCCCTTTCTACCTCCTGCATTTCCCTTTTTGCACTCTTGAAACAAATGTTCTATTACCTCCTGTATTTGTTCATACTTTGTATGCAGCCCTTTCCATCTCTCCTTTCACGTTCTACTTGCATGTTATGTATCTATATATTGTATATATCCTATATATATGATTGAAAATGTGATATTTGTCTGGCTTATTTTGCTTAACATACTAATCTTCAGTTCCATTCCCTCAAAATGTTGTATTTTAATTCTTCTCTGCAGATCAATAAAAGTCCATTGTTTATACATACTACATTTTGTTGATCCATTCATTCATTGATGGATACCTAGACTGATTCTATATCTTTGCTGTTGTGAACAGTTCAGCAATAAACAAACATGTGGAACTATCTCTGTAATATTATTTCTTACAACCATTGAGCTATATATCCAAAAATAGAACAGATAGTTGGAATATGATTTCAAATAAAACAAGCTAATCTCTTTTTGTTGGTTAGTTAAGGCCATTTACATTTAAAATTATTATTATCAGAGGTCTGTTAATTCGTTTAATTTAGTTGGGTGTGTTTTGGGTTGCTTGCATTATATTATTGGCTCTTTTGTTTTTTGCTATTAGAATTTGTCGTTTTCTGTGTTGTACATAATAGATCCTTTCCTCACTCTCCTTGGTCATTTATTCCTCTCATAAAATTTATTATTTGATGTACTCTCATAAAAAGACTGTCTTCCTTTCTGTGTATAATTGTGTGTGTGTTGTATGCATGTCTTTGAGGGTGTGCATAGTGTGTGCAGATAGAAGCCAGAGTTTTGACATTTTGTATGTCTTCCTTGATTTCTCTCTATTTTACTATTTTGAGACAAGGTATCTAATACTGTACCAGTTAATCACTTGACTAGACTAGATTCCCATTGAGAATAATCTGTTCATCTCTGTGTCAACGGCACTGGAGTTGCAGGTGCCTGCTGCTGTGGCTGGCTTTTTTAAGTAGGTGCTAGGGATTGAAACTCAGGTCCTCATATTTGTGCGACACATTACCAAGGTCCCCATCTCCACCAATCTGTGGTATTATTTTAAGCATATTCTGCAGTGCTGGCTTTGTGGCTATGAATTGACTGAAAGCTTTGCTGGATAGAGCAGATTTTTGTTGGCAGTTACTTATTTTGGAGGCTTAAAATATATCATTCCATGGTTTCTTGGCTTTAAGACTTCTGGGGAGGGATCTAATATTATTCTGATGTGTTTACATTTTGGGTGAATTGCATTTTCTCCTGAAAACCTTCAATATTATGCACTCACCATTTGCTTATAATATTCTTTGATGCTGTTCTTCTCTGATGATGCCTAATTAGACTTCTAAAGGCATCTTGTGTTTGGATGTTTATACAGATTTGAGACATTTTCTGCTGTAATTTTGTTGACTAGAATTTTGTACCTCCATATATTTTTTAGCCACAAATTCATCTATCACATAGGTTTTTATTATGTTTGTTATCTTTATAGTAATCCAGCATTTTGGGATGTTGTGGTTATGCTCGTTTACATTTTTCAGTATTAATGTCTTAATTCAGTAACTCCTAGGTTTGTCCTCTATATGATATCTTTTCTTCTGTTTGGTTAAGTTTCTTTGTGGTTCTTATTATTACAGTTTTTAAGAATTACTGTAAATTTTATTTCTGAAAACTCTTTTCAAATTATGAATTTTCCTGATGAATTTGTCTTCCAAATTATGACTTTTCCATTTTATTTTGAAGTTTATACACGTTGTTGACTGTTCTCTGTATGTTAGTGGCTTTCCTGTCTAGATCCTGGGTAAGTTTCCAAATCTCCTTCATATACTTTTTTTGTATTATTCTAGTTCAGGTTGCTATTCATTTTTGCTCATAATTTTTGAGATCTAATTTCATATTTTACCCATGTCAGGTTTTTTTTTTTAAATTGTTTTTAGTTTAGGAGTTATGGTCTTTTGGAGAGGTCAGGTTGCATTGTTTCTTTTTTGTTTCTTTCTGTGTTGCAATTTTTACATACTTTAATTTGGATGTATTTTTTGTTTTATTTGGAAATCTTCTCTGTAGCCTGCTCTTAAAGGCTCAACCTGCAGTAGTACTCATTGAGGATTAAACAAACTGCTATGTAGTACCAAGTTTATCTCTACCAGATGCAGAAATGCATGCTCAAAATTAATTAAAAATATTCGAAAATATCATTAATGGCTGCAAGGTAGTAAATTACAAAACAAATATAGTCTCCCTTGAAATTAAAATGTACTTAGAGTAAATGTAGATATAGTCAATGGATGAGATGAAAAAAGAAAATAGGGAGAGGGAAGAAATGGAAAAAGGAGCATGATTAAATAACTGAAAGGAAAAAAAAAAGGTGAGTGAAGAGGTTTATGATGAGGATGAAAAAAGGACCAGAGGATTAGAAAAAGTACACAAATATATTAAATGAAAATGAAAAAGACAATCCAACAATTAGAAAATATGCAACCAAAATTAGATAATGTAATAAGGAAATGAGTGTAAAAACAAAACATTTCTGGATAAACATTCTTTCTGTGGAAAAGGAGTCTTTCTCCTACATGGCATCCTTGTGGATCCCTTTCTGCTCTGCATTCAACAGCTGTCTGACCTCTCTTTTGATGGGTTTTGTAGGCTTTATTTGGGATAGTCTAATTTTTCTTATCTTTGTCCTTTTCCTTCATTGGTCAATCTTGAAGAAGGTTCCAGTCCATCATCTCATAAAAGAGTATTTTCTTAGCCTTAGGAGACTAGAAAAAATGTATTTGAACTTTAATAGTATTTTCTGATACTTAAAAGAACTCAACTAATATTTTCCACAAGGGAAAAATTAGATGTATTCTGTATTTTTCTGAAATCTTCCAGGAATCCATATTTTAGAGCTGTGTTCTGTAGAAATGCTATTGTGGCTTTGAAAATATCTGAACATGAGCTGCAAATAGCTAAGGTATTTAATATAACAGAAATATCTATATGTATGTATGTATCACTTACCCATTCTATAGTAACCGTTGTAGTATGTGTAGTAAGGAAGAAGACTGACAGAGATTTCTAATTTTGGGTTTGACAACGATGGATTTTATGACTGTGGGTAATACTTGTGTCTGGGTTTTAGCTGTATCATCTGTATGAAAGAAGGGGTGGGGAAAGCCAGTATGGGGGAAGTGGGTGGGAGGGTGAGACTAGGAAGACAGAAGGGAGTGCAGTTGCAACTGAGATATAAAATTAACAATTAATTAATGAGTGCAGAAAAAAATGAAGGCTGTGCTAATGAAATCTATACAAACTTGTTTTAGAGCACACGGTCTAAACATTAAGCACTTTACAAACATTTGTTGTTACTACTATTATTTTATTATTTATAGATAGGTAAAAATAGGGCTGGTAACATGCCAATTAACACAAAGCCTAAGGATCTGAGTTTTATTTCTGTGACCCACATGGTGGAAGGAGAGAGCTGACTTATAAAAGTTGTCCTCCAGTCTCCATATACACCCTGTTGTACTCCCACTTATGCACACAAACACATACATGCCACACACACACACACACACACACACACACACACACACACACACACACGTGACAAATGAAGTGTAATAAACAGTTCTTAAAAACAGTAGTTAAC